GATTCTGTAAGAAGCCCGCACCTTGATAAAGATGGACTGTTATTACGTTCATGTCTATATAACATGGGCATCTTTACAGGTCCTTTGCGGACTGATGAAAGTTCCTCGTTAATTCTCAACTATTCCTGTGAACATCTTTAATGTTAGAAAAATGTTAAGTGATTTGGTTTATCTTGAGTTGTATTCAAAAATTTTCAACGCAGGAAATAAAAGCAACATCAAAAAGAGTTGTCTTTTGAACGATTTGGTTTAGATAAACTAGCCATTCTCTCTTCACTTACTTTTCTGGAATGGAACTAATTTTCTGTTCCTTAATGGACATATTCTTAAGTGAGCACATTTCTTTTTAATTTTCTTCTCACATCAATAAGTGTAACACATGTATGACAAGATGTGTGAAAATATTTAATTACATTTGAAGTCTTTACTTAAAATGTGAGAATATGAATCCCAGAGATGTGGTTTTTATTTTAATAGAAATTGCCTCCTAACCTACTGTAGATTGATATTATTTCTGAATTGAGGATTAAAATGACAGAGAGTGGAATATTGTATATCCATTATAATTCATTAAAAATAAAAATATTTAAAAAAGAAGAGAGAGTGGGAAATCTATTACACAGTCATAACTACTGGTGGACAGGAACTCACGAATGAATGAGTTTTCTAACATTAACTTACATGTAGCAGAATTTTCCCGGGGTTTAGGGGGAAAAAAAAAAAGAGAACAGAGCTGAATCTAGTCAGCATCCCTTTATTTTAAGTAAAGTAGCTTGTTCATTGGCTGCCACATATACCGAGGTACTAGAACTTTCAGAATAACCACATGCCCTGCATACATTCAATAATTTCAACCCTTTTCAGTTTTAGTAAGTGATCTTAGCAATTGGGCAATTGTGCAGTTGTTCACCTCTCACAGTCATGGGGCTGAAAGAAGCTGGGTGTCTCCTCATAACTTCACTCCTTCGGGATACAGTAAGACAAAAACAAGCTTTAGACGAATGTCTGCCATACATACACACATTTTCTAGCTAGCGGACATGAAATCCACCAAGCTGTTCTCATAGCCTGGGGGAGGCACCACTTTCTGCTTTTAGGAACTCTAAGCAACACGTTGCCTCAAAGATTCACCGTGACACCATTCAGCCAGGCACCACGATCACTGTCCCCGTCATGCCGGATGCTATTTAACAAACGGACTGGTGTAATTTGAAATGATTTACAATACCAACATCTAGGTGCTAAGTAACCACCTCCGGACTGGGGATTCCTAACTGGCGGCTTTTACTGCCAATCACCCTGAATTGAGATTTCCTGATAAAGGCCCTTCAAATGTTAATGAACCTTCCTTAACGTGTACAGCAGGGATTACTTGCATATCCACACATGTATCAGTCTGACTGTAATTTCTGTACAGAAAAATCAGGCAGTGTACCATGTCCACTGGAATACAGACATCACCCTAGGAGTCAAGTGGGAATTCTGTTTCCACAGATGGGTGATGTAAACCTAGCATTCAGAAACTGAAATGTGTGAAACACTTGGAATACGCTAGTCCACCTCTTTAACTTTATTTTACAGAATTAATTTGCTGTCTGAGTACATTCTGGTATTCCCACATCCATGCTGGTGGTAATAACTGAACATTGGAAATAACAGAAACGCTGTGACTAAATAACATTAGGGCATTCATAAAATGGTGTGGTTTTCAGAGATGAAACAGAAGGTATCGCTAAACACAGAGACTAAAAGAGGAAGAATAAAACATTTTCAGTGAAAAGATTCTCAAAATGGCACATATTGAGGGGGAACAGGCAGGAGAGACAAAGAGATACAGAAGGGAGAAAAACGTCTTTCCTTTCCTATTGCTACTTTTTACCTTTTGAATGTTTTTGCAATGTGTTTGTTACAGTAGTTTAGCTTCTTTGTAATGTATAACAGGTTACAATGTCTCCTTCCATGTGAACAGTCTGAGGAGATTAATAGAGGAAAATGGAGATGTTTTCCCCAAGACAAGTACAACTTCATTAAGCGCATTTAAGGTACCATTTAATTCTTTCAGACCCAAAGTTCTCAGGTCCATGAATTCATTCACTGCTCTTTACTCCAGTAGAATTGCAATAGCTCACAGAAGCAGCAGATGCTACAAAACAGGGGGAAGAAAACTGAATTAGGTCACAAAGCAGTTTAAATGAACACGGTTTCCTCATCATCCGCTCTCACGCGGGCCTTGGCTATGCGTGAAACTGTGAAAATGAAGAACTCAGGATAAAAATGTCCTGGCCTCAGTTCAGCCTGTTTGCTGTCTATTATTTTCCAATTTCTGGACTTTTAGCAAATTAGGTAACACTTCCCTTTCTGTCAGTAGAGGACTCTTCTTGCCTCCAAAGTAAACAGTCACCAAGAAGGTTATCTACAGACGAAGGATCCTTAACTTAGAGCAGATGTGTTTAAATCTTTCTCGGTTTGGCTAATACCTCCCGGAATCTTAAAGCCTTGTCTTTAATAAAGAACATCAAATACATCGACAGGCAGTTGAGATCCCCTCTCCCACCCCACCACTTATTGAGGAAAATAAATCACCTCGAAAGGGATAGTACTCAGTTATCTCGTGATTTCTAATGTCTGCTTAGAGGGATAAAGCATGGCCCTCAAAACAGACATTCATCCACTTCTGCGCAAGACGGGAACTTCATAACTTAGAGACCTGCCCACATCTTGAGCCTTCAGGGTGCCGCTGACGTTGGCCTACGTGTTCGCTTGAAGACTGATGGGGGTGGTGGTACTGGCTGGACTTCCTGGATATCAGGGGCACTATTTTTCTGATGCTCCCAATGTCTCTCTGGCTTTTTAATTTTTTCTTCTTGCAGTTTAGGAAATGCAGACAACTGAATTAGTGAGGAAGTACAGTTCAAACGACACCATTTTTGTACTTGATGAAGTTTAGTTTTTAATCACTGCACGTACTGATACTGTAGTAATACTAGTGAACCATTTCCTTAGATGAATGATTCTGAACATGTGGCCCTGGAGACCTTTGAAAAATGAAGATGATTGTGCTCCATGTAGTCAGGAGCCCTGGGGTGAGGCTGGTGCTGTGCCATGAACACACCCCTCAACGTGTCCAACGTGCCAGCAGTTTAGGGACCACTGATCTAGACGCTATTCAGGAATGTCAGCATGCCTTACAAAAGAACCCTCCGCTGTCACAGTTTTTGCAGTGATAGACTGTACCATTTCACATACAGGCACACCTACGAAACATTGTGGGTTCGGTTCCAGACCATCGCGATATCACAATAAAGTGAGTCAAATAAGTGTTTTGGTTTCCCAGTGCATACACTCATTGCGTTCACACTCTCCCATCGTCTGTGAAGAGTACAACAGCACAATGTCTAAATAAACAATGTGCATACCTTAACTGAAAAATATTTATTGCTAAAATATGCTAACCATCCTTGGAGTTTTCAGTAAGTCTTAATCACTGATCACAGATCCCTACAACAAATGCAATAGCGAAAATGTTTCAAATATTGCAGAATTACCCAAATGTGACACAGACACGAAGGCAGCAAATGCTGTTGGAAAAACAATGCTGAAAGACTTGTTCGACACGGGGCTGCCACAAACCTTCGTTTGTAAAAAACGTGGCATCTGTGACAGGAAATAAACTCTCAATAAAGCAGGGGATGCCAGTATTTGTATTTCATAGTTGAAACTTATTTTCCATTAAAAAGATGATATTTTGCTAAATATTAGAAAATGGTTCACATATTAATACTTAGGTAGAAGCAGTGATATGTTTGTGGCTTCCTACTATGAACATATATGATAGTCTGTACAGCCTTCTCTTCTTTGAGGGTTTATCCTAAAAACTTGCAAATGAGCACCCAACTGGAAGGGTGTGCACTGCCTCAGGAAAACCAAGTGGGATGCTGTTTAATAGGTGCGCACAGGATCTGGGTCGTGCTACATGCTGGGCATGGACTATTTCCGTTACGCCTCACAAAGAGCCTATGATGTGGGTACTCGTGTTACCTGCACCTGACACACAAGAATTGAGCTTCCCAGTGGCTGAACAGCTGGTGGGAGGCCCCGTGGCGAGGGAAGCAGGCTTCATCTCCAGGCTGTAAAGCCCGCGTTTTCCCATCCCCAGCAGCCTCAGCACGAACACGACTACACTCAGGTTCTTCTTGGTTAACGGGCACAGTTCTTGGTTGCCTCCTTTTACCTGTCCTGCAAAAATCAGCCTCATTGTCTATGTTTTCCTTCAAGTGTATGAAGACAAACCACTACGGCCAGGATCATGAGCTGTACCGTTAAGATTTGTAGGTGGGAAGGGGTCACTGTCAGCCAGGGCACAGGGCTTGGGGAGGATGGGAAGAATGGCCTCCCTCGGGTCCAACTGCAACCATATTTCTATGCCCACCCGGCTCACATTATGCTCTCTGGGCAGTTCAGCTAGAAGAATGTGGCTCTGGTTGGAGGTGGCATTTGTTCTAAAAAGCTGTCACTTCCTGTAAGTGGTGTTCCAGCACCTTTATCTCCAGTATCTCCTAATACAAAGAGAGAAATCAAGTGTATTCCAGAAGCATAAAAGCCACCCAGATAGTGGTGAGCATAGCTGCCTTTCAGAGCCACCCAGAGGATGTATGGCAGTTAATAAAGAGTTAAGTGGATTAAAACGATGGAACTCAAGACATTTGTAGGCATGCTGCATTCCATAATTTATATTTAAGCTATTGGAGAGTTTATATTTAATCTATATATAAAGTAATATAGTTTATGTTTAAACTGTGTGTGTGTGTGTGTGACTGTATTTGTATAAGAGGAGATACAGCCAAAATATACAACACTAGGAATAACTAAGCTTTCTGTCTCAGTGTTTGCAATATGCTCAAGAGAGCTTAATCCAGATTGATGTGATTTTTCTGGCTCTCATGGTAATTCCTGTGCCACTGGGAGGGCTTCCCATCGAGGTGGGTCCAGGCCATCCCTACCTTTCCATTGGAGTGAGACAGAGGTCTTTTGACTGGTCGATTATTCTTGCGTCACTCAGCCATCCCCGGCCTGAAGTCAGAGCAAACCTGTTAAAATGTAAACCAAGTCGTTTTCTTTCTGTGCTCCACACCTCCCACCTTCTCAACCAGCTTAGTGTGAAAGCCGAAGCCCTTACAGTGGCCGCACCCTGCCCCGGGCAAGCCGTGCATGCATCTCTCGGTGGTCTCTTTCCTGCCTGGACCTCCTCCACTCTGGCGCACCTCTGCTATTCCTGGAAAACTGTAAATTCCTCAGTGCCCGCACCCCTACCCCCTCCACTATCTAGCCGGCCTGCCTTCGCCTGCGCGGTTCTCATCACCACCAGACACATCACAGCTTTGCTGGTTTCTGCCCCAGCCGAGGAATTTCTGGGACCAAGGACCTGCTGGGGACCGCCGAGAGCTGTACCAGGCCCAGAAGAGGCTCTCAGGACACATTTGTGGCAGGCATGATCCACAGCGATAAGTACCTAGGAAATCTCGATACAAATAAAACACAGATCCCACCAGAATTTTAAGTTCTGGGCTAAGCATTGCCGCTGCAGAAGCGCGGGCCCTAACCCTGCAGCGTCTCACTGGAGACGGCTCCATCGTAGACAGTAAGCGCCTCCTGTCCACCCGCCCACCGTAAGCTGGGCTCAACATGCCTCAGTCATCTTGGGGCTCCGGGGCCCACGTTCAACAGCAGGCGCCCTGTGATTGTGACTTGCTGCCTGTTGCACCTTCTGCACAGTCTGCCTTCTCCCCTCCCTGCTGACCCTCAGAACCCCATCATTCCCACCTCAAGGACTGAGATGAAGCTCGGGAAAGGTGCCTCCATAGATCTCCTGTTTCACTTCTGCAAGGCCTTCATCTCATCTCCCACCCCACCCACATATTTCTTTCTGTTATCCTGCACTCACTGAAAAGGGAGAAACACAGAATTTTGATCAAAAATGTATTGAGAAAGAAATACCGTTTCCATGTTTTCTGTAGCTTCGGTCAGAGCAGAGTCTCAAGCATTTTTTTTTTTTAAACAAAATCGTGTGAATTATTCCAGTTTGCAATTCTAAGAGGCCATCAGGTGATCGAAAGAACAGCGTGCACAGCACAAGCGACTGACTGCTCAGGGCACTGAACGTGTGGCTGGGGTAAGTGACGGAAAGAACATTGCACGTCTTCATCGTTGGACACAGTCATATGATCAAAATTTGGTCCTCTTCCTGGTGGATTTTTAAATTTCTGGCTTCCCATTAGATGGATGAACTGATTTGATTTGCAATTCTTGGAGCACAGTTTTTCCTGGAACTATCTGGTTAATTGGTTGAACAATTGCAACACAGGAATGATTTCAGAAGAATGTAAAGACGTTTCTGCCTAATTGAATTATCTTGGGAGCGTCCTCCCACCTCCCAGTGCCTCAGCTAGATGAGGAACCCTGTGGAACACATTTGTTTCCGATCCCCAGAGATCTACATCCACTTTATGCCCTCCCAGTCTCTCCACCTCACTCCCTCCATTATGTCAATTCAATACACGTTTCAGAAGGCCCACAGTGACCACGGGAATGTATAGATCCTTCCATTGTGGTGGTCCTGAGCGTGAGATGCAGAATCTCCTAAAGCAAACAAAAACAGCGGCAGATCCATGATGTCAAATGTAAGAATACATGGGAAAACGGGTCAGACGACTATCTTTTATTCACAGGATATTGACCATTGGCGATTTTGACTCCAGCACTTCCAAAAATAAAATAGATGGGTGTTGCTCCTCTGTTCTCCTTCCCCAAATCCGTGATGGTCCTGTAGTCACAACTAACTCAGCAGGGCTGCCAGAAATACCCTGCTTACCTTTGCAACGCTTGTCAGCCTCACAGCCAATGACGGAACCTTTCCAAAGCAAGCATTTATTTGTATTTTTAAAATGGGGTATAAATGTTCACCTATTGAAAACAGGGATCTCATTTCACTTCTTTCTTGTAGTGGGAGTTTCCATCTGCTAATACAGCCTCTATATACAGTATAAGCCTATAAAGAGTATATACTCCATGTGACACAGATTGCCAAGCTAAGTCACCTCCCCCAGCAGACCTCAGGCGACCGTTCTCCACAAAGGAGGGTGCCACTTGCGCACAGGCAGAGCTTCCTTTATTGGGAATCTTGCCCACACCTTGCTTCATGAGACTCCATTTTTTCTTAACATTACAGAAATTACACTTACTTCTGTGACCCTTATGCACTTGATGGCTAAGGCAGAATCCTCTGTTGGAAGTTGCCTCGTATGGACACGAGGTAAAATCATGGTATCCGAATATATGATGTGTTTGGGGGATGGTTTCTGCTGTAAAATACACCTCCACTCCTTTAAATGCCTGGGCTGGGGGAGATTTGCCTCCTCTCTCACCCCGGGGACATTCGGCAGTGCTGGAGAAAGACCTGCTGTCACAGCTACAGGGTGGGGATGCTAATGGCGTCTAGTGGGCAGAGGTCAGGACGGGGACCAGCACTTACACTGCATGGGACACCCCCACAATAGACAATGATCAGGTTCCCAAATACCGATAGTGCCGAGGCTGTGAATTCCTAACCAAAGACAGGAAAAAAATCAACACATGAAANTTTTTTTTTTTTTTTAGCATTCTGAGTGTGTCAAATAATTTTAGAATTCGCTGTTTTCCGTGCATTTCCCCTCCGGTTTGTTCTGGCACATCACCCCACTCCTGGAAGCCTTGCAGGGACACCCTGCCAGTGCTCCAAGCATGGATCTCAGAGACAACTGGTCAACACAGCGACACTGAAGGGGAGCCCGGTGCACGTGCTAACGGTCCCCTTCCAGAAACACAAACACCTCTCGCTACAACACTCATGTCCTTGTCTGCCCTACTGCGTGGCTGTCTCCTGGCTGAGTGGCCATCCAGTCATCCAGTCACGACCAATGGGCCCAGCAAAGCTCACTCACTCTTTATGTTTTCACTCACGACACTTTCTGACAGCTGTTTTAAGTCACTTGGCTTGGACCGGAGCCTGACTGTCTAACTTAAGTCTCTGTTCCTCTCAAAACACAAGGGTAAGACAAGGTTAGTTTTCCTTGATGAGCGAAGGAAGTCACAGTCCCTCTGATGGCACTTACAGGCATGGTCTCCTCTGTTACCTGCCTCAGGTCACAATCCCGAGGGAATGCGGGAAGATAAGCTAGGATAGCCGCTTTTCATGGAACATGTGCCGCGCTTTCTGAGAATAGTAAACTCTACCGCAGGTTTCTTCATGCTTTGACAACAGTTCCTGCTCGCTGACTCGTTCTCACAGAGGATGCGAAGCATTGAACATTCCCATCTGACCACAAACAGAAAAACAGATTTTTTCACCTCTTATTAACCCTATAATTTTTTTTATAACTCTACGTATTTTCTTCTACATTTGACATATATTCATGGTACTCAATTTTTATTAGACATTTAGTATGCACACTACTCAAGAGGTTCTATTACCACTTAATACAATATCACTACTGCTAAAAAACCAACAGAGGAAGGAAAATGTCTTATTTTTGTTTTTTATACTTGAGGTTTTTTTGTTTTAGTTTATTCTACTTTAATGTGTTTCCAATGCCACTGGGCAACAGTTCATGCTTTGTCTTTGCTTGATCAAAATATTTTCCTCTAACAGAATCATTATAAACTGAAAGAAATGCCTAACTCTCAGGAATTCTGCTCTGACTAGAAGTGAAGAGTAACGGCTTACAAGGAACGCCTGCGTAGTTTGAGAATGTACATGGTACCTCCTCAAGGGGAGGGAGGTTACCACCAGTTAGGACACAGTTTTCTCTTCCTGAATGTGGATCTAGATTGCATCATCTTTAACAACTGCAGACCCCTGGAAAGTGTGTGTGTGTATCTGTGTGTGTGCCTGATCTTTCTTGTATTTTCTAGCGATCATCCTCTTGAAGACCACGAGGACTGAGGAGATAAACCCTCCTCTGGTGGCGACAGAGAGACCCTGAAGGGGCTTAGCTGTGGAATATCCCAGCATCCACTGGCACTCTGGTCCATTTCCCTGCGAGTACCCACGCCGGCAACCATTACCCTCAAATTAATTAGAACAAAAGACAATGAGCAGCTCATTCCCCCGTCACACTGGCCACATTTGCAAGGCTCAGAAGCCACGTGAGGCTAGTGGCCACCGTAGTGGACAGAGCAGGATAACAGAGCATCACCACCACTGAAGAATGTTCTGTCGGACAGTGTGGTCCTGGATCGTTCTCAGCCCCTCCTGCTCATGCTGGCATCACGAAATACGGCTCTGGAAAAGGTCACCTGCTGAGGGACAGTCCTCTCAGTTTCAAGGTGGGAGCAAGGCTGACATTCGGGGTAGTGCTGTATTGATGCTGAATTGAGGGTTGTGTCCACAGCACAGGGAGGCCCCTTCTTTATCATTTTTATCCTTCATCTTTCTTTTTCTGTCCCACCAGTTTCTACCTTTTGTTTTCACATTAACTCTCCCACTTTGTCTCTCTCTACCGAAGGAAAAATTCATTGTCTCGGGAATTATTGCCCAAAGTTAGAATTGGAATACACCAAGCGACGGCGCCATGTGGAATATTTTTTTGCATTTCCTTAGAACAGCCTGTTACTTGGCGATGCAATAGTGGGGAAGGTTTACTGAGTTTGTTCTGTCACTGAAACGAGCTCCACTGAGGTCTCATTTACAAAAGTTAGTAGGGAAATACAGCCCGTCACATCTCCACTGGGACCACGGGCGGCCGGCGAATGGCGACGGCAGTAACAGAGCCGAAACAGAGTCCTGGCATCTGGGCATTTAGCTGCACAAATGTGCAGCTGGGAGGGCAGCTTCCTACTGTAACGACGTTGTAAATTTTATTTCAAAACAAATGGATCGGCGCAGCTTTTTTCTCTACAGTCTCATTACATAGAACAGAAGGAGACTGACCCAGCTACCTTCATTTCTCTTTCTATCCCACTTGCTTGGAAAACTTTTAATGAAGTTACTTTTGGAATAAGATCCTCACTGCTTCTTTTTATCCTAAAGAATTTCAAAGTATATGAGAAATGC